CCACTGGTTTGTAAAATGCTCTTTAAAAAAAAAAAAAAAAAAAAAAAAGAGAGAGAGAGAGATGGCAGACGAGCCTAGAAATAATGTAATATATGCTAGTAATATATGCTAGGAGGGTCTGTAATATCAAGCAACATTCTTAATCAAAAATTCCTCAAATAATTTCATTCTTAGTGGCAATGAACAAATTTTCCTTCTAGTTCATTAGCTTACTAGTTCTGATTGCTTCACTGTCACTGTGTCATGTASAGAAAGGCAAATTAATTCAGTTTATTTTCAATGCACCCATTGAAAATAATGGTATGATTCAGCAGGGATTTGCTATCCTGGAGTTTTATATTGTACCACAAGCTGCCATTAGCTGTTGTGCTTACCTGTAGTTGTGGTTTTCCTCTCCACTCTTCCTAAGTCAGTACATGTTCAAATACTGCTGTAGATGAAAGGTATCTTACGAGATCTGTACTGTACAGACCATAGCAGTTACACATTTACTTCTCTCTTTWATTCACCTTATTACAGAAAGGTCAGGAAAAGAAAGTCGACGGACARACGCAGAAGTAAAAGAGAAGGTACCAAAACACAGAAAAACTTCATCACCTAATAAAGCACATCCTGAAAATGTTGCTGTGTACGCAGGTAGTAATGCAGCTGAGCAAATCCACTACAAGTCAGCTCTGTGGTTTATAACGGAGAGTTGTCAGAGCTCCTGCGGTAGCAGAGCAGTGATACAGGACACAGGGCCCTGTGGTAAACCTTGCTCGTTAGAGCAGTGCTAGCGAGCAAGCCACACGACATCCTAGTGGTTTTAAGTTATTCAGAGCTGCTTATCAGCTCCAGGAGAGATCCAGGTTCCAGAAAAGGAGCTTMTTATTAACCACAAAATGGTTACTCACCTAAGAAATAAATTAGGATCTCAGCTTCTTTGTATCTGCTTTTTATTAGCTCACAGGTATCCCAAATCTTTTCTTGTTCTGMTGTGAAGCAACCCAAGTAAGACTAATGATCACTGATTACAATATTTCTCTTCAGAACTGGTATCTATTGCCAGACACTTAATAAGCCAAAATAAGTCATTTAATGGAAGAAAAGTAATATTTGGTGCAGTTAGCACTTTTTCTTTATCTACAAAATACTAAGTACCTAAATTTTTCAAGTATTCTGAAACCTGGTTGCTGCCTTTATGCTAGTTTTCCAAGCAAAGTTTTCCATTCATTAAAATCATGTTGCCAGTATTCCAGCCTAAACACAGGGGAAGACAGACAGCACTTGATGCTATCTTAACTTATCAGATGTTGTAGCTCCTTCTCATGAAGGATAGTACTTTAACGCAATAGTTGAGAGGAAACATGGAAAGAAATACTGGAGGGAAAGATAAGACTGAGCCATCTGGGACAAATCTGTTTGAAGAAGCAATTTGTTTTTCAGCATAAGTTGTACAAATTCTGCTGAATACACCTGGATTTTTATAAAGTAAGGAAAACCAAACAATATAAAATATGTAAATGGGCTTAACTCCAAGCATTTTTACCAATTTAAAACTTGAAAAAGGAAAAAAATAACAATAATGCCTTTCCTGAGTTAGTCATGCAGCATACCTCCGTATGTCAATTATCTGAAGGGACACGATAATCCTTTCAATGGATATGATAAATTCCCCACTAGGAGTCCAACTGGTCAAGAAAGAGGGAAACTTTATAGAAAGAAAGACTACTTAGAAGGTTGTTAAATCTTATTAATCTTATTCAATTAATAATACTTAATAAGAATCTTTTCAGAAARCTAGTGGCTTAAATTTTAGATAGTAGGTTACTGACCCAGTCCTAACTTCTTTTAAAGACTACTGAATATTTATTTTTCACCAAAGCAATAAAGCAGTGTAAATGACTATAAATTGCAACAATGAAATACAGAGGCCCTGTATAATATAGGCTATTGTTACAGAAAATAGGAATYTATGTTTTTCCAGACCACATACCATATTCCACAGGTAGAATCCAATATTATTCATTTCTTTTTATTCCTGTTTTGCAGTGGATTTCAGAGCAGACGCAGCAGAGTGGACTCAGGACATAGAATCAGATGTGCTGCAGATGAGACACACAATACCAGAAACAAGGATTTGGGGTTTTAATGATGCCATCATTGAGGAATTTATATCTGAGGATACTCAGCCTCAGTCACAACTACCACATACATCTCCTAATAGCCCTGAACAAACTCCTTCCAAACAGATGAAATACTTTTCTTTTTTTCAAGCTGATTTAACTAAGAGTGATTTGGAAATTTTATCACTATGGAATGGTAATCACTGCTCAAAACAAAAAAGCCTAGCACTGATTAAGCACAAATTGTAATATGAATCTTGATGGAGCTGTGGTTCTGGATCCTTTTCCAGAATGTGAGATCATAYATATGGCATAAGTCCCTGGGAGGAGGCCCAAAACATATCTGCTAGTTAGTGACCCTGTGGCTGAAGTACCACAAACTATTTCACAAATCATCTGTGAGAATGGTCAAATGTTTTTGTTCTGCTGTACTTAAGTAACTTAGAGTGAGCACTTGTTGCCATAAACAATCTATCAATAGTTTTAATGCCATGGGTTCAGAAGTTCCACAATGTTTTTCATACTTTGAAAAGATACTATTTTTCTGGCATAATCTATTCTACTGGCTTCTGAAAAGTCAGTTTAAATGCAGTAGATAGGACATTTCACTAGGGTGTTATCCAGTGCAGACATACACCGTACTCCATCAGACACACACAGAGCTGAGTGAGAATGTGACTCTGATTTAGATAGCCATACTTGAGATCATCTCAAGAACAGTCATAGAAATAAGAGAATAGTATGATAGAAGTTAAGAGCACGTCATAATCATTATGCCGATTAAATTGTTAATCTTCATTTGCCAGTTTATGCTTGGCAAGGGAGGAAARGCAGACAATATAAATTTCATATACACTATGAACTGAAGAAATGGTGTTTTTACAAATAGAAATATTTTGAGATATTACTTTTAATAGGAGAATAAAGTAGGCACCAAGTTGCACCAAGATAAATGGAAATTCTGTTTAGTACTGTCCTAAAGCATCATTTTTAAGACAGATGCTGTCTCTTATCAGCTTTCAAGTTAAAAAAAAAAAAAAAAAACCTTTCTACCTTGAGCTAAGTGAGTATTACTGTTTTAACAGGAAATACCTTAAATCAGTATCACACTGGTAAAACAATCGTGCTATCAAAAATACTTCATTGTAGCTTTTAAGCACTAGAGGTCTTTTTAAGAAAGTCTTGGATAAATCCAATGTAAGATGGAACATCATCTCAACATTTGTGCTTATTTTAAACACAGAAGAGAAACTTTAAAAATCTAGTCTCAAATATCTATACTTTTTAATATCTCTTTATTATTTTAAATTTTCATCTTTCCTTACCTTTTTGTTTATATGTTTATAGTTTAGCTTTGCTTTGCTTAACTTACTGAGGCATCTGAACAGAATCTGATATGTTTTTATCTCGGAATTTCCTTGTCTTTTTGATAAAGTTAAGGAGAAATGCTTGTAGATCTACCATATGGAGGCAAGTATGGTATGTAAATCAGTTTAATAGGACAAAAGCCTTAGGTACATAAATTATACCATGAATGACAAATGATTTAATTAACATATCTGGATTGAACAACATCAGATTTGCTTTCAGGCTGCACAAACTTGTTTCTTAATTTCTTCAGCCCAACCTGTTCTTTGAGTGATCAGTATTAAAGTCTGCAGAGGAAAAGTGCCTGTCCAAGTTGCAGATTCTCAAACCAAAAATAGTTCTCTATGGACTGTAAAGAAAAAAAAATAGTTAACAGTTTTGAAATTGCTCAAATTTGAAGTTTCTTGATTTCTTTTTRAGTTTAGACATGCCAAAAACTACAAAAGGTGACAAAGTAGAAAAATCATTTTAATATTTTGTGCTTCTGTACATCAGAGAGAACTAGGGAGATTCAGGTTTGAAAGAGTTCCTTTCCTTTGCATCTCATTTCACAGGACAATTTGGACTTCACACTGGCCTTTTTTTGGATTCAGAATAGTGATGTAATGGACATGTTAAATGCTGGTTGTGGATTAAATGTGATTGCAACCTGGATTGCAGAAATGCTTCTCAGATGAGAATCACTTCTCATCTGAGCTTCACGTTTCATCTGAGCTCAAAACCAGAGTTTCTTCCCAAAAAGCTGGCAATTCAAAATGATAAATATCCTAGTGCTTCATTTCCTTTCTTTATACTGGAATCACAAGAGATTCATGCAATAACCTGTAGCTGTTTTATGGAGGTATGGTTCAAACTACAATGATTTCATTTTTTAAATTGATTGACCCTCCAGAAGTTATGAAACACCTCTGTACAAGTGTAAAGATTCTAAAATCTGATTTATGAAAGAGATTATAAATGAACAATCTCTCCARTGAAATGGTAAAGGCCATTTCTATCAGATTTCTAGCCCTCCATCACAAGTCTCTTCCATTGGGTTTTCTTCATCTCTCGCACCTCTCACCCACCTCTCTGTGCTGCTCTGAGATCCTCTCATTCTGAATCGTTGCACATGTGCTTTTCTCCAATTCACCTGCTGCAGTGGAGTAGAGCAAGGAGTAAACCCTTCCATGAGCAATTTTCTCCTTTAGCTTTCTTCTTATTCACTTCAATCCTGTATTTGCCACTAGTCATGACAGCAACAGTACTAGACAGCATGCTTACACCCCTCTAAAATTTGTTCACCCTTTAGCAAGTACAAATTAAGGCTCAAACTGCAGAGCCGACCACTGTGGTTCGGTAGCAACTGTGCAGTCAAGATCAGAATCTGACACATGAGCGTGTGTCCTCATCTAGGAAGTTGATGGTCATAATATTCCCATGTGCAACTCTACCAAACACTTGCTACTCTGAAATCAAACTGTTGGGGTATAGCATTCATAATTCGTATTTTATTTTACTAATTCACATATTTTCTTCCCTTTGTAGAAGAGCTTGTGAAAAGTGATGATGAACAGCTGAAAGACCAAAGCAGAAAATCCACAGATGCCCAAATACAAGAAGAGACAACAAGGACACAAAACGAGACTAGTCAGGAAAGCAATGAAACAACGTGCCCTCCCAGATCCATCGTCCTACAAGTAATCTCTTTTGACACTCCTCTTCCTGAATCTGACTCAGAAAAATGCACTAACTCTGATCTGAACCAGAAGGATCTCATGGAGGCCCAGCAAGAAACGCAGAGCACAGACCCGCTGAATGGTAATAGTTCTTCACAAAGCACCAGTCAGTCTAATGAAGCTGTCCAGGGAGAAGCTGCAGCAGTGTCCAATACCTCTCTGTCAGACATCAACAGTGGTAAAATATCAAAATAAGGTGTTGTATAAATCTCCAGTATAAAAAAGCTTCTTTGGGCATATGTTTTAAAACCACCAAATAAAGGGCATCTGATAAAAAAAAAAAAAAAGTATCATCTTTTTGATATTAGTTCTTTGATAAGTAATAGGAAATCCTTTTTCTAAACAGCAAAGCCTGGGTGGAAGAATATTTTAAAGTTATTTAAAGATGCACCTATGCAATTAAATACTAGTTTGATACTGAGAATCATACCATGAGCTATCAACATTTTCTCCTTGAATATGTACTTCTGGTATTGAAATGCATCTCAGTTTAGGCACTTAATGTGACTTTGATTTGGTGAAACACATCCCTTTTTACTAAAAGTAACATGAGTTAGAAAATTGCATCTACTTAAAGTGATCAAAGGTAAGTGATACAGGCATGGGAAGAGGTTCTATTAGTAAGAGAGGTCATTTTCTTGACTGTAGATTGCAAGATTGTAGATTGGGACAAATGGAACAGCTAAAAAAAACTCTTCCAGCACTGATTTTTTGGATTTTATAAGTGCAAGGATTTTCTCACAAGCCGACCAGTGGCTTAGTATCTGGTGACTGTAAGGCAGTGTGAAAATGTCCAAGTGATAAGAGTAGGCATTTTGAAAGTAAGAAAAAAGGCACCATAGATTTTTATTCTCATATGATCTTCATGATAATAAAAGCTTTGAGTTATGAGGGCAGTAAGAGTAATTTTCTTCACTTCTGATTGAAAGGCTGAACTCATTCATGGATTTATGGGAGTGAAACTTGCGAGACTGGGCCAGAAGCAGAGAGTTGCCTGAGCAGCAGCTAGAAATAACTGTACAGATCAGCATTTACCTGATCCAGATATGTTAAGATCCAGAATATGTTATTTCCTATTTCAAATATATTTTTCACAAAAGTGTGGTAAATTAAAATCCTGTGTTAAGTGCAAAAGATAAATTTTCCAAACAAGAAAATCATTTTTATGTATTTAATATTTCGTATCTCTGCTTCAGTTTTCTTGGATGGAGAACGTTGCACATTATAAAATCTTATGATTTCACAGAAATCGTACTTCCCAATAGAAAATAATGAAACAAACATGTTACTTTTCTGCTTGAATAACCAAGAAGAATGTTTTGAATTGGCATATTAGACATTTTAAATGGATGCTATCGCATAGACAATCACATTTTGCTAACGGGACGTACTCTGCCCTGCGTCGTGGCTGGCAGGAACGGAGAAGCGCGCGCTGCTGCGGGAGCTCCGGCCGAGACTGAGAGCCATTTTTCTCTACAACATCTTTGTTCCTTCCATAATCTCACTTCCATTTAATCAAATGTTACAAGATTAAGTGGAACTATCATAAGGTGATTTTTTTTTTTAAGTGATGATTTTTCTTTTCTCCTGAGTGATTTATTAATTAGGTCATTAACTTTAAAAACTGCTTATGTTTAATTAAACAACTTAATGTTTTAATGATTTAGAAAATGCTAATTGGTGCACTTTCAACTTTTTACTCATTTTGATTGCCACATTAATCCTTAATATCCGAATGTGAGGAAGATAATAAATCTGCAATAAAAGAGATTATGGGGAACTTCTTTCCCTGTGACAGCAGAAGAGTACCCAGTTGCGTGCAGTAGTCAGCACTGAAAGCCCTGAGGATAACTGTACAAAACAGCAGTGGACAAATCCACCCGTGTGACGTGCAGTTTTATTCACGCTGTCACAAGCGACGGCAGCGTCGGTCCCTGCTCGGTCTGGCCTTGCTGCTGGGTTTGGGCTCCCTCTGCCTTGCACAACACAGCACGGTGGTGCAGGAGGCTGCGGCTCCGCACACGGGATGCAAACAGTCAATCCATGCACGGGATGCAAGCAGTAAATACCTGAACAGAGCAAGGCTGGGAGCCCACTCCGGATCCGGGGAAGGAGCCCGATCCAGGGCAAATGGTCTTAAAAGAGTGCACACAAAAAGGGTAGCGATGACAGGATAAAAGTCAGGGACAACCATTTAGTAGGCACAGCTGACATACAAAAACTTAAATGGTGATCTGAAGAAAGTTATAGATGTTTTAGAAATCAATATTTAGCTTTTATGAAAATTAAACAGCTTCTGCTTACAAGTCCTTCACAAAGCTCTCCTATCTCCCTTCTAAACTCCTTCTAGCCACTAAGTATAGAAATTAAATATTTAGATGAATAGGTTTTACTTTAGTAAAAGTAAAATTCTTTAGAGAATCTTTGAGAGCCAAGAGTCTACTATTAACCCACACTAACTGCAGAATGGAAAGCAACATGGGAATGAAGAGAGGGGGAAAAAATCCATACCACAATTCTTATTATTTATGGTGGTGCAAAGACGATAACCAGTAATGGCTATTAATTTTCTTCTCTCCTCATTCTCTTCTGTTCTTCTCTCTCTCTGTTTTTTAAACTGCAGATCCCTTCTTCAACTGCGACTCACTGTTTTTCTGTTTTCCTTTCAGATTGCATATCCTTTATTTTCTTCTTCAGCTGCTTGTACTGCAATATCTCTTTGTCTCCTGCCATTCAGAAGTCTCCCTCTTGTACTTATTTTAATTCAACCTTTCCCTTCTTTCCTRCTCATCTTCTCCACTTCTCAGTCTTCTGTGCTTTTCCTTTTAGCACATTTTAAATGTAGCATTAGTAGTCACTGGTGGGAACATTTGCTCAGTTGGATAAACTCAGCAATTACTCTGTAGTTAGCAAATAATGCTACAACTTTGTCACCTTCCACCCATGCATATGGCCACTGATCATTTTAGAATTTTCTCAGCTGTAGACATTATTTAAAAGCACTCATGGAATAGTTTGAAATCGACTCAGTTTGAAAACTACTTGTGTCATTTCTCCTGTATGACTGAATTGGAACTTGACATTGGCATCTTTCATTATCTAAGAGAAACTTTCCCCTAATTTGAGCGTCTAGAGTGAAGAGGATTTAAAAGCACTTCTCTACAGAAGGTGGACGTTCAGTAAGTTGGAAGATACAAAAAACCCCACTTTATTAACATTTACTTATGTAAATGTCATCATATTTTCATTTAATATTTTAATCTACTGCTTACATTCTATGTTTTGCCTTATGAATAAACCATTATGATCAGTCACCATAATCACTCTGGTGAGAAAGAAAGGAAGGACCAAAACCCCAGTTTAGCCAAAGGGAAAATAATTCCTTTCTGAATAAGGCTGTACAGATTGTGTGTACTTGGTTGACTTCCTAACTCAAGATCTCAATAACACTTCTTTATCTTCCAGATGAGCCTAAACACTGCAAGAAATCAGAAGACATAGTAAAATCCACTGAGCAAAACCCCGCACTGATCAGCAACTAGACTTGATATTTCTTAAAGGCTTCTGACATTTCAGGGAGGAGAGGTAATTTTGTCTTTTGGGGTTTTTTTTTAACCATAACCATATGGTTAATAATAAACCATAAATATTTGCTTTTTTGATATTACGATCTGATCCAATATTGGATTTATTAGAAAATATAAAAATTGGGTCAGACGGCACCCTACTTTCTGTGCTTCCTTAAAGAGCCTCAGTTTAATACAGAGGAAAAATGATACTTTTATATGTCTGAATTATCAGGCTAAATAATTACATGCTAAACAATTAAACATGRAATATTCTGAATTCACATATATTAAATACATGAGGTAATAATAGTAAAATCTTACATGTTTATGACTTTTCTTTTGAACTCTGTTTCAGGAGCAAAAGAAGACCACTAACAGTTCCTACTCCTGTTCTTGCTGAGGCCGCTAATCCATCAAGTTCCTCTTCAATTATATCGTTCTATGGAGAATGATTGGACAAAACTATTGAAAATGTAAAGCATAAAAACCTGAGCTGGTTACTCCACACACTAAATAACTCAAAATGTCAGTTGTAGTTGTTGCTGTTTCTGCTTCTGTTCTGCTTTCTGAAACTAGCCAGAATACTACTTTTTTCAGCCAAGGTTGGACCTCATTTTACTGCATCACTGAAACAAGACATTTTCAGCTAAGCATGAGACATGTAAAATACATGGGTCTGTCTGCACTGGATTGCTCTTCTGTGGCACTGCTACTGGCAGTAGGGATTGCAAAATCAAAGCACTGTTAGAGATACTTGTTCATGCAGCCATGCTGCATGCAGCATTGACGCTCTCCTGATTAGCTTGCTTAGAGTATCTGGAAATAAGAAATAAATTGTATAGGGAAGCTCTAGAGTTATACTGATCAGCGCACATGGATGACAACTCTATCCCACTGCTCTGGAGACCTCGTGTTCAACAGAATCAGTATCAAAATATCTCCTTTAAATTAATTAAGTAGCACTCACTGTTCAGACCCAAACTTCTCAGTACTGTTTCCTGTAGTATTTAGCAAGAGCTTGGCACTGGTGTCCACCTTGCCACGAAGCTGGCCATCGACAGCTCTGTAAATACGTGATAAATTGCTTCCCTTCAGCAAACACTGAGTTGCCTCTCTGGCAGAACTGGAAGGAGACACCGAGGCCTTATGCCATGGTTTTGTTCCAATGCAAAACTGACCACTTGGATCCTGCAAAAATCTTTCCCATGGAGGATCCTCCCTAATCACACCCGCACGCAAGACCCGCACCCCGCAGATGTCTTCCTTTGCGAGGCAGGAGAAGAGCCCTGCACACACGGGCAGCTCCCCCGGGCAGCCCCAGCCCTGCAGCCTCGGCGGTGCCCAGGGASACCCTTGATGCTCATGTGTGCTTGGTGCTGGGTGCGAGCGGTGCGCGGCAGCCCCAGGCGCCGCAGGCAGCCCGCGCTGCTCGGCGGCCGTGCTCCCCGCCTCGCCGGGCCCCGGCCCGGCTCTGTGACCCACACCTCACGGGCCAAGGGGTCTTTGCCCTCAGCCAGCGTCCCCGGAACAGGACTCAAGCGGAGGGACGGGTGACATTCCCGCTATGCAGAGGCCGCGTGCGCTCGAGACACGCRCTGTTCAGCTGCTGCTTCAGGGATCCCACCGCAGCCGAGGGTAACGCGGGCGTCAGACTCCGCCTCGGGAAGGGCMCGTCTCCTCTGGACTGAATACAGAAGGATAAGACAACACCTTACACTGACGGACACCTGGGCGTCCCAGCTGAGTGACGGCCTCTTTTCCAAGAGCCGAGCATTTGCCATTGAACTGGGAATGCTGCAAGCTCTTTGCTCTGGGATAAGGGCATGCCAAAAGGTRGAATTCATGCCATTCAATATGTAAGCCATATACACGCTATGCATATTCAGTGTGCATAGTTTTAACTTAAGAAATGTTTGTGCATATAAGATGTAAAAAGTGCATTTAAATCGTTTTGTGTATCTAGTCCAGGGCTTGTATTTAGCATGGACAAATTTCTGTACAGTGCGGTTAACGAATGAAATGTTAACAAATTAAATTGTATTATAAATGTTATAATGCAACTGATATTTTTTTGCTAAGAGTTAAGAATTTATATATTCTCTGCTAGTGTTTGAGCGAATCATTAGTAGCCTGAATCCCTCCATGCACCTTGCATCCCTTTCTGCAATGTTGGACTTTTTTTCCCCTTTATAAAATTATATAAACTCTCTTTTGGTTTCTTATTGCCATTATGACAAGAGAAAAATGTTGGTCATGTCAGATCTTTTATAGAAAGCTGTAAATTGCCAAATGCTGTGGCAGTGAAAAGTTTTCTTGTTTAAAATGTGAGAACTTTGATTTTATGCTTTTTATTTCAAAACATAGCACACCTTATTTCAGATAYTTCCCACTGACTTTGGAAAGGGCAGAAGGTGGCTGATACCTGTAAATTTGATTTAACAAGCTATCGCTTTGAGCAAGTGTTCCTTCAACACTGCAAGTCATGATTTGTTGAGATTTGGAGCAATCCGAATTTGATGTCATATTGTATTTTCAATTTCAGACTTTTTCCATAATTGGACTAGGCTTCTTTTTTCCTCCTCTGTCCCACAGTGTTTTAGATACTCTGCAGAAGAATAGGAGCAGCGTTTGCAACAGATCCTGCCGAGGACTCGGTGCCTCCTGGCGGGACCGGGTGTCCTGCTCTCACAGGCAGCCCCTTCCCTGCCCGCGCAGGAGCCGGGAGGAACGCGTGGCCTCACAGGGAGCCCTCAGGGCTGCACAACCGAGTCATTAATAGAGAAGTGTCATTTGCCTATAAATAATCCTACTCGCTCATCTGCTTTCAGTTTAATCGCTGTGGTATGTGCTATTGAAATACCAAAAGAAGGCAGATTTTCCTTTAATACCAATTATATTTTATTTCTTTCCTCTTCTATTCCTAACAAGTTTTTCTCTGGAGTTGACCCGAAGTTTAGCATATTGTTTATATGAGGAGTCATTTACTTTGATGGAGAAGTCCAATATAACCCATGTGAGTTACTTAGGGCTGAAACCTTGAGCAAAATGTGCATTCAATTGGCAGAAAGGCTTCTTGTTCGGCCTCCCCCTGAACAAAACGTTCACTCGGAAACCTGTAAGGCTGCGCTACCGAAACACTGCATGGGGCCATAGGAAATGGTGTTTGTATGTGCCTGTCTCCTGCAGCATTATGGGCATGCATCCCTGCACACTGAGGAGCCATAGCTATAGATTAGCCCTCAAAGGTTTTATTTTGTATTTTTATCTTGAGATATCTTACAAATATATTATGTAGTCTTGTTATGGGTTATGATTTAGCCAGTATTTTTTATTTAATTTTCAACAAGKCAACCTATGACTGAGTGTTTCTATTCTGCTGTACTTGTCGGTATTTCCTATGATGATATTCCTAAATAAATTTGATTTGAGGGCACAGATTGCGAAGCTCGTGAATATGAGTTAGGAGTTTGCTCGTGTGCACTCGACTGCCTTTGAGAAGCGAGAGCAGGGACGGTTGTCAGCGAATCTTCCCCGTTTGCGGCTCCAGGCAACTCGCTTGCATCCTCTTGAAAATAACTGCTTTCCGTGAGCCTTGTCATCTTAGCCTGCAGCTAAGATGTAGCTAAAATATCCCTCACATTCAGAAAAATCATAACCAAAAGAAAAAAAAAAATCCAACAAGAAGAACACCACACTTTTTCTGCTATGGTGGTGATGCCCCATTGGAAACAGTTGTGCTAGAGAATCGGAAGTGGCTCCATSGCACATGCTAAACTTAATCAGGGGACCTCAGTGGAGCAGATGTTAAGGACCCCATGCCACTCAAACTGCAAACAGATGGAAGGAATCCCATTGACTTCCACTGGTATCGAAGCCTCGCAAGGTAGGTGATGGGATAATCAAAGGTACATTCCTTGTGTTTCCCTTTCCTGCTGCTATCAGTTTTAAGCTATAGGCTCAAAGGGCTTTCTTTTGTTCTTAAGTTATGACAGGAGTCAAATAAGCAAATTAACAAAGAAATCAATATTTTAACTAACTATATAGTCATTGTGTGAGAAAAATAAAAGTGTAATTAAATATTTTAACATTCTTCCACTGTGACCTAAAAAGACTGCAGGTTGTACTTCATCTATTTGTCTAAGGGAAAAGTGAATCTGATTTTAAAATAAGCTTTGAAAATTACATCTTTGAAAACAAAAATGTGGAGGAGAAAATGTGGATGAGGAATGTCATTTAATACTTCCAGCTTAAGGTAAATGTATGGAGAATAAATACATAGTTATCTAAATAGAAAAAAAAAAAGATTTTCCTTCATCATTTAGATAATTTCCCTGGGATATGACTTTACTTACCTAGTATTTGTAACTTAATGTTTAAATAAGGAGAAAATACTTGCTATTTACTTAGTTTCAAATGGATTTTTTTCAGCTGATGCAACTCGCTAAGTCCAATTCAACAAGCCAATGGTTGAAGGTCACATAGATGTTCTGTCAGGTTCTCATGACTGTATATATAAGAGACCATCCAACTTCAAACCATGTTTAATTCCTCTCTGTAAGTTACACTTCCTCACTTCGATACCGCCACCCTTTGAGAGAGAACTATATTTTTCTCTCCAGTCAAAAATGAATGTTAACCTTTATCTTTAAGGGTACTCCATTAGTTTACAATTAGAGTGTGTCAAGTATTGTAATATCCATAATATGCTATGCAGTATATGATGCACAGTGCATCTTTATTTTAGTATTCCTGTCTGAAAGAGCCCTATGCTATTAGTCACAAGGTGGCTTTGGTAGAACTGGGAGGGTTTAAMCTGCAGCTGTAGGCAGGTCTGGGGGATGCACTTGTGCTTTCATATAAGTTATGGGTGCAAGATCAGGTCTATAGAGCTGGAATCTCCAGCAAAATGCAAATKAAAAACAGCACGAGCAATTTAAATATTATTTATAATTGACCTTCATGCCTGTTTTTAATATTCAATCTGCTGAATGTTTAAAAAAAAAAAGCAATTAAAAGACCCATATAATGTTAAAACCCTTGATAAATGTAATAAACACATGACATATTCAAAAGAGAGAATCTATGTCCCATTAGGAGAGAAAAAGAAAGATGAGAGCAACATATGGCAGTATAATTAGCATGATTAGGGAAGCACATCAACAGAATTTATGCTGCAGGGAAAATGTAATAAGAAACCAACACACTTTCCTCATTGCCTGGAAAACTGCAAATATCGCGCTCTGAAAAGGAGAAGATGTAGAAAGGCTCCCTGGCATTTAAAGCTGTAACTTGTGTTCTTCTGTCTTTATTAAAGAGGCACACGGCCATCTGTAAACCATTTATTTTTTGCAGCGTTCACATTGTCCCTTTGCTTTGATTAATACGCAGCAATATTACACCTCAGCTGCTTTTCAGAAAGATGCTATTTTGGAAACCTAATTAATACTCATTGCGCAGTGAGCTCAAGGTGTTCGTTAGTGCCAGATACTGAGTCCTTATTTGTTTCTCATTATGTGGTGAGTATTGCTTCTCAATGCCAACGTTTTCCTTTTGCATTTTGGAATAACCTTTCGACACCTCCCCTCCCCACCGCCCTCCCGGCTTCGGAGGAGCGACCAGCACCTGCCGTGGATTTTGCAGCGTGCCCATTGCGCCTGTTGCAAACAACCGCGCGGGTTGTTTGCACCGTTAGAGCGTGTGGAGGCCCAGCAAATATTGCTGCCATTTGGGCCACAGCAAAAAGCAAGATTCAGAAACTTGGCAGTGCAGTTTGATTTCCCGCTTACCACTAAGGGTCAGTATGTACTAAGCAAATGGGACATTATAAATGTGAAGCATAATGTGCTTGATTTAATAGTGGTACTGTGAAAAGTGCAGGAGATTAAGAACAACTCTCTCCCCAGCCCCTGCAAACCTATAGCAGGAGCAGGCCTGCTGTTAACATTGAACTTGTATAAATTCAGTCAGACAACTTTGCTGCATGCACAGACTACCTAGTAACAAGTTCCCAAATTTCTTGCTCGAGATTTGCCTGCCRTGCTGGGCTAAACCTCCCTGGAGAGGCACAGAGCAAGCACAGCAAAGCGTGAGAGGCATTGGGTGCTTGTTTTGTTGCCGAGCATCACGCCTCATAGGAAGAAGTCAAATTAATTGCGTGGGTCAGGAACCAAGACACTACAGAAACTCTCCTTGCAGCTCGAGGAAAGGGAAGAGCTATTGGAGAAGAAAAAAAAGAACTCCTTTAAATAAAGCAGGTTTTGAGTCCAGCCCTACCAGCAGAAAGCCTGCCCTGTAGTGCTGCCTTGGGCTCTTCAGGAATAAGAAGCCTTATAAAAAGCCCATCTTTCACATAGAGAAAAAGTGATGAAGCCAGAAATTCAACAATGGATAGGAGGATGACACATGGTTTCCTGCTATACACTGTATTTTCCCAGAAGAAAGCTTAGTGCTGGCCAAAACCTGTGGCCATTGCCAAATAAAATTCCTCTGACTTAAGTGGAAATTATGCTTTAGGAAGGGCTTTTTAATCTTGGCCTTTACTTCAAATCTATTTAAGCATTATCTGGTTTTGCACCTGGAGAATAACCAACTCATATCATCCGCTAGGTGAAGCAGGAGAGCTGGTTTCCAAGAACTCTATTAGCACAAGATCTCAGTAAATTTCTCTAAAGGGAAGAGCTTATCCTGAAATAAGCAGCATAACATTAGAAAACAGCAAAGCTGCAAAAATGTAGTAAAAAAATAATAATAATAACTTTAAACTACTTCACATTCACCTGATAAGGGATACTATAAAGAGATGGAGATCAGTCCAAAGAGGCAATGCTCTTGAGTCTTGTGGCCCAGTTCACTCTGAAAGAAACATAGTACATTCAAAGCGAGGAAAACAGCAGACACAGCTCAGAAAAGTGGTAGATTTAAGAACATTTAAGAAAAACAAACAAGCAAAAAAAACAGACATAGATTCCAAAATCAGAGCCATACTTAAAAACGGAACTACGTATGTTCATTGCTTGCCTGCCTTTTCCTTGCTTTCTTTTTCCACGTTCAAAATGTCATGAGCCTGTTCATGGAAAAAAGACTGACTCAATCCATCTTTAAAGACCCTGCTACCCTAAACCTGTGATAAATCCCTAGCAAGAAGCAAGACTTTTTATTTTTGAGAAAGCAGCCCTAAGCTAAAGGAGCTGTTGTTCCACATGGACGTTCCTCTGCACCAAATCACCACACCACATACAACACTTATGTCTAAATGAACATCGTATTTATTTCATAGCCTTTAAGTTGGCTTTATTTACAGTAGGTCATCGCACACAGGTCRCGCTCGGCAGTTAAGCTCTGGCAGTACTGCTGTCAGGTCGCTAACACGTTTGCAAGTTACACTTCTAGGTCATACAAAATGGAAGGGGGGGAAAAAAAATGACTTTAAAATAACTGTTTTATCTCCGGGGCGAGGGGGTGACAGGGCAGGTCTGCAAGGGCTGCAATGCCCAGCAAAGGCGCCGCGGCCGCAGGAAAGAGCCTGCAGGCYGCTCACGGGCCCCAGTCCTCCTCTCTTTCACTGACGGCCTCGTCCTCCTCCGGAAAGGCGGAATCGTTCTGGCTTTTCAGGTGCTTGATCCCTGCAAGGAGAAAAGCCAGAGTTAGGATTGCTTTTTAATTCCTTCTCAGCCTGGGAAGCTATTGTGCCTGTCTCAAATTTGTTGGAAGCAAACAGGCATCAACAGCCAGGCCCAATCTCACGTGCTGAGCGCTGTCTTGGGGTGCAAGGCGAGTTCAAGGTCTCCGTGAGTTCAAGGAGGCAAGGCCAAGTGAGAAAGAGGGCGGAGGAAAGAGACCCAAGGACAAGGATGATTGTTTTCAGAGGATCTAAACCAGTAAACACAAAAACACTGGCTGGTTTAGGAGGCCCCTAATGTTTGGCAGTCGTGATTGCTAGCCAAAGATGGCTGGGTCCGTGAAACACAAGCCTGAACTCACTTGCTGCTCTCATTAGTGTCATAACACCCCAGGATTTGCAAGCATGCCCTGTGAGGCTCAACCCATTTCAGCTCATTCTTGCTTTATGCGGAGTATTTAAAATTTCTCATTTCCAATTAAGTAACAAAAAAGAAATACTTTGGCTGCTGAGCTACCACCCAGTGGGCCTATTTAGTGGCCCCTATTAGTAAGGTAAACACTTTYAATGCAATTTTACCTAACTGAGGATTAATGGGTATTCATTTCAAAATGAAATTATGTTTKTACTGTTTGTCCACTTGAGTGGACTGTCATGTCCTGTGGTCTATCTCTGGACCTATAAAGCTGTGTTTTATACATTTACAATACTTGTCTAACACATATTATTTAATAGTTTAGACACGAATTATTAGGAGCTGGAATACATTGTTTTCTAGGGTTGATTTTCAAATATGAGACAGGAATAATTAGGGACAGAAATAAGGGCACAGCATATACCAGTATGTGGTACACATCAGTATGAAGAGGTTTCATGAAACAGTGAAGTAAGAGTAAGGTCTTTCGGTTAAATGGCCAATTGCAATTTTAAATGTGACAATTTTAATAAACTGAGAGCAATGATATCAATGAGTATCACCCATTAATTCTTACATATTCTTACAGGCAACTATCAGTCTTAATGATTTCTCATAAACTCTCTTTTACAGCCTGCCTTCACCTCTGCAGCTAATTAAATACTGCAGTGTCACTAGAAGTAAAGATTCATAGGGTTTCCTGCACGGACCTATAGTTGCACGGGACTCATRATGTCATTATTTATATAGCTCAACATGTTACACTTCAGTTTGCCAGAATTAACCAACTCTATAGCAGTGGTAAGTATTTCAACCAAACAATAAAAGGCACTAGAYTTGACAGCAGAAAACAACCTCTTGGCTAGACTCAACTAGACAGTAAAATAAGTCAGCATGAACTAGACTACAGGTAAAGAAGCTCCCGTCAATAAGATATGATCATAGAAAAGAAAGACCTTTTTTCTCAAGCTGTTCCATGCATGAGTAATAAAAAAAACCTATGTAATAAAGTCATAGCAATCGTACTTTTAGGTTAAAAAAGCCTATGTAGTCAAACAGTAGTGCAGTAAACCTGTAATGCAAKAGGTGCCATGAATGGTCACAATATCTTAAAGCTAATACATTGGCACATTTATACCAATACTCAGCATTACATTGGTTCATTTATCCACMGTGCCTCCAAGCTAAGACAATTTAATACAAGAGGATGTTACAAGGGCTTCAAGCATCACCCTGGCGGGGCTGGTTAAGCTGCCTTGGTCAACGTGAAAACACCGATAAGCTGGAAACAAGATAGAGCTCTGCTTGTAGGCAGAGTGTTTCCTAAGCAAGCTGAACCAGGTGGCATGGAGCTGGCACAGCTCATATCCATTATCTTTGTTTAGGAATATCTAAAGCGTTTACTTTTTTGTAGTAAAAAGTAGTTTATTTTTCTGGCTAGAGATTGGGCGAAGATGTCATTACTTGGGTTATACAAGATCTTTCTGTTACTGCTGACGTAGAGGTGTGTTAATTAAATAGAAAGGGAAATGTATTTCTTAACTTTGCAGGTTTCATGCATGTTAAACTGCTCACACCCACTGCTTTCCTAAGCCAGGAGGCCTCCGCACGCTGCTCGTGGTCTGCCACTAGCCTTCAGTGCAGCAGTACCTTAAATCTGGGCAACAAATACGGCTGCTGAGGTTTTACTTGTTAAATAAAATGAAAGAAAAAGACACAAACAAACAATAAAGAATGACCTTCCACCCAGTAGCTGGGCTTTCCTAATGCCACCCTTTGAGTTCTTGCTGCCTTTATGCTCTCCTTTTTGCTCCTAACACCAGAAGGAGGAGAGTTGTTTTTTTTTTTCTCAGAAGACTCATGTTTCACTGCAGGTAATTTAATCCAATTAATGCTGATGAAGAAACCCTTAATGCCAAGCCATATCCAGCAGCCATGCACTAATACACTTTGAACTGGTAATGCCTTTTAGATGAAGTCACTGCCTCAAAGCAAATTTCTAGATTACTTATAAATTATAAGTTCAAATGGGACAGTTTTGCAGTCACATAATAAAATTTACGCYGTTTAATCAACAGCTTTTTTCAACCCATCTGACAAAAGCACCAGATTAGAAGGCTAAGCAGTGTCACAAGATAGCAAATAACCAAATGTTCCCGAATTAAATCTCTCCTGAAATTAAAAAAAAAAATCTGTRATGGATTAAAGTAATTAAGTCAGTTCCCCACCTTATTTAACACTCTTTCCTTCTTCCTGCTTCATTGCCCAAGGAATGACGCTGACATTTACCAAACTCTGGTGAGGAGGCTGCTTGGTAATTTGAATTCCCTGAAGTTTGCAGGGTTATTTAGTCTTATGATTTGGAACCGAGCCTCTCTCTATCAAAGATACATTTCCTTTTTTTCAGAACTCGTGGATGCACAAGCTGAGCTTTGGCTTCTCATTCTGCTAGAAAAAAACTAGCTGTTCAAAATCACTGAAATCTATTGAAATTTATTGAAAGCCATTTCTAATCCATATACATCAAATCCATTTTCTTTCTATACGCATTCAACATTTTGACATGCGAAACTTGTCTATTGCCCTATGTTTTATATATTGCATTTGTTCATTGTCAGGTGCATGCAAAGTGTGCTGCTATGTTTATTTAAACATAAGACATATGTCTTGTCTTCTCACTGCCCCATTTGGTGATGATTTCACATACAAAGCTGTCACTATTGCTCATGGAAAAACTCTGCGCTTAGTCCCATACATTCTTTGGTAAAACACAYTCCGGATACTTTAATTTCTTGATGAAAATTTCTACAAGCAAACAATTGATTTTTTTTTTGTCCCTACTGTATAAAATTTTTGTCTGAAGTAATTGAAAAATATGGAAAAGGATGCATTCCAAGTAAAGGTAGGACAGTAAATCAAAAAGGAAAGTGCGTATTTGTAAAATGTCTATTCTGGGACTTTGCTTGTTCCCCCTTCACATAAATGCCTTACCATCCATCCCGTATAATCAGTTCCTGAAACGTTCAATCCATTTTTATTTAAGTGCCTGGTTTAGACACGCTTTCCTTGCAGACACGTCAGAACTCAGTACATGAGCATGTATTAGTATCTCCTAAAATCACAGCCCTCGTTGTCTCCCCAGCTGCTGCCCCTTCCRCTTTCCAGCTCACTGAAATGATGCTCACTGAAGGTGATGCTCACTGTCACCACCTGGCTGGATAATCTCTTCTGACTACATCCTCGGCTGCCTTTGATCACGTTTCCCTTGGGCTCGGACTGAAAGCATTCTGGCTGCAGTGCCAAATGCACCCGCTCCAGCTCCAGCTCTGCCTTTGACACTTCTTTGTCCTGGTTCTTCTGCTTTTCCCTTGTGCCTCTCYCCATCTCTCCCACTGCTCGCTGCAGGGGTGACAGCAAATAATAAGAAATAAGAAATAATAAGAACCTTTAAAAAGCCTCTCAAGGAAACAGTTAGTTGTTTCTATCCAAATTAGAGTTCGCAGAGGCCTAATCTGTTTTCCCAGCACCATCAAATTCAAGCCCTGTGTCTCTCCTCCTGTCTGAGATGCTTTCTTTGGTCACTTACTGCGGGTGATACCATTGGGCTTCCTGTCCTTCAGCCCTACACACTTTCTCATTCCTCCAGATTGCCACATTCCATTTTCATCTAAATCTTGCACATTTTTATTACTGAATGCCTCTAATACAATCTTTATAGTTTAGCCAGCAAAAACAGCCATGCAGACCCTCCTCATTCCTCACCTTCATTGCTATTGTGTTTTGGTCTCTGGATGTTAAGAAAGTTGCCCTGTTCCTGCGTTCAGAAACCTGTAGCTCAGATCATCCAAATAATTGACCATTTCCTGGGTCACCACCAGCGAGCTGCTGACCTCCTTCCCTTGCTTCCCTCCCAGACATTTCAGGCTGATGGTATTATCTTTGCTTCCAAGGTAAATTAGATCTCTGCCACCTGCTGTCACCGTGAACCAGCGATGGTATGGTATTGGTGCTCCCTTTTCTAGGCTTTTAAGGGAATATTTTCATCCTTTCTCCCACATTGAATTGAATGCATCCACTGCRCTTTCAAATTATTCCCAAAACTCTGTATTATGGGATTTAAAGAAATGCAGCACTGGAGCCCCAGCCGCCGTGCTGCAGCAYAGGGTGTCCAGGGGCACCCAGGCACCCTCGTCCCTCCGTGCGTGTCCCACGGCAGCCGCTCTCTGCGGGTGCTCCCAAGGGCTTCAGAAAGTCATCTGTGARAGGAGAMTTTGCTTTGCTTTGTTTTGCTTTGCTTTGCTTGGCTTGGCTTTGCTTGGCTTTGCTTTGCTTGAGAAAGCAAAGACCAGACCCAGACTTCCACAATCACCATGTGTGCAAGTCAGGATGCAGCTAAAATGGGAGGGAAGAAGAAATAAAAGGAGAGGGACATAGAAAATTTTGCTTTATATATATGAACAGTTTGCTCCACAGAGTGCCTGGCAGGTCTCCAAAAGGCTGTTCTTCAYCTAGCAAGGCTGCAAAGCAGTGCTCTGAGGAACTAGTTCTAAACCATACGTGTGGCCGTAAACTCCCATTTACCAAATTTT